TTCCAGGAAAATTGTGCCTTCCTATCACACCTGCCAGTAAGTAGGTTTCCTGATGAAAGAATTTAGTGTATCTTTTCTATATAATTTTGAATAATTTCTTCTTTACGTGGTCGCACGGCCGGTACACATGCTTTCAGGTTGTAGTGAATTGACTGAAGGGGAATTACAGCCTTCCACAAATTCCTGTTCAGCAGTAGCTTTTTGTTCAAGCAGCAGTTAGTTTAGCTTTACAGCAGCTCCTGAGGGCTCTGGGCTACCTATGTTGTCTTTGTGAGAACTCACCTGGAATAGACATAGCCAAAATGAAGCTCCTCACTGCACTGATACAGCATCTGTCTTCAAAAGCCCACACAGCTTTTTGATGAGCATGTCTTTTGCTGTGACTGGTGACTGTTGTATACAGTCATGATTACATGGTCAAACAGTCTTCCTAATTATAGTCCTACAAGACCTGTACATATTCACATATTGTGAGTTGCTCCCACTGAAATCACTAGGATTCCTCAAAATAGGTAAATTTAAGCAAAATGGACAATATTGTGGGATTGGAACCTATCTAAGGGAACTGTAACATATCTGATCCAGAATAAATTGCTTCAAGATAATTCTAAGTTTCCATTCCTATAGCAAACTGCTTTTGGTGGCTTCACGGAATACTGGTTTCTTCAGAGAATCTTCTCAAACTGGTGATCTAAAAGCTGTTATTTCTGATAACATTAAAGTTGAAGTATTCACATCTTGTGCTGTTGATATCGCTGCGCATTACAGGGTGATGATCCAGAGGATACACCCTGGAACTTCACATGCCAAGATGGAGAAAATCAATCTCTGTTAATAAAAAAAGGCAGGCTCAGTGGCGCAGAAAATCACTACTTTGGAGCCTTAAAGAGGCTCCTTCAAAAATTCATGATTATAGAATGGACCCTGGGCTACATTATAGTCCTGAAAGAAATCAGGATATGAAGGGAAAAAAATCCAATTTTCATTAAGTGGAGAAAATAAAGAATAAATCCCATACACAGACATAGTCATTGATCACATGGAACATAAATATATGCTCAATAGTATTTTCCAAGTTTCCCAAGTACCCAATACTTTTCCCAAACACTTTTCAAAGTTTTGGTTGTTTTTTTTTTTTCTTTTTTCCTCGTTGTTTATTCATACTCCTAGCGCTAAATCTATCTGAATCTATCTGATATTGTTCAGGTCAGCTGCTGTAGGGTAGCTGCAGGACATTCAGCCTACAGTTACAGGCATTTAACAAAGTCAGTATTGACCTAATGACTTAAACTTACTATTCCATAAAGTATTTGGTGATGTCCCCTGCTGATGGTATCCACAATGCAAATACAGTATGAAATAAATAGCAGAGAGCAAACATTTTTGCCCTCTTATGTGCACTGTGCCTACAGCCATCCTGACGAGCGGCTTCTATAATATGACAGAAACTTGAACACACTAAATACCTTTCTTTAAAGCAGATTTCCCATTTTCTGTCTATGGGAGGTCTGAATTCCTGCATCACAATCATTTGGGAGCCAAAAGAATTAATATTCAGTCCTGCAGTGTAGGTGAGTGTGATGGCTGATGATTTGGATGATCTTTGGCTTCAAACATGGCTTTTGTACAATTAGAGCAGGAAGAATTCCAGCTTGGCTTTTACAGTAGTTTAGCTTTCAGCCTTGGTATACCCATAATGCAGTATTTGTATGGAAGAGACTGGATTATTTTAGATGTAATCTAGTCAGCTGCCTGGAAATGCAGCCACTCTAAGTGTATGCTACAAGGCCTTTTTACCATATTATCATACACCAAATTATTCTTTTAATTATTTTTCACACATTTAATGCAGCTGCAGATCTATTTATGAAGAAACATTTCAGTAGTTCAGCTGATCAGCTCAAAACCAAGAAGAAGTTCCTGACAGTTCATCTTCTTGCTTACTTAAGCATGGCTGAGTCATGACTACAGTGAATCTAGCACTTTCTTTTTAACTTCTATTTATTCATTCATTCCCTTGTTCATTGTTAGGGTGCATGTGTCAGGGGCTCGGGTGAGTGCAATTTACTGTCATGTAGGTGCCTGACTTCTGAGGTAAGCTGTGATTGAAATATTATTTCACACAAATATCTATTTTTCATGTTTTGCGTAACGATATATTCATAATGTTGGACTTCTCAGAACTCATTTGAATTATTTTCATTGCAAAGACAGACAAAGAGGACAGCTGAGAGACAGGAAAAAACTGGTCTTAGAATTCGACACTTATTTATATTTATAAATTTTCAATAGTATTGACTATATGAGCTAGAAAAGATCAGTTTTAATTGGGGCACTTCGCCCTCTCCCAGCTTTAACTTGCACTTACTCAGTACGTTATTAAAGAATTTGCCAGCAAAGATAACATAATGGCCATTTTGCACTTGCTGCTCTGCACTGTGTTTTGAACTGATGTGCTGATAGAAGCCCCAGTTAGGTTGACACGTGGACTTGCCAAGCTTGGAAAAGTGCATTTTAATTGTAATGCCCCCAAATCAGGAGCACATCTGCTAGCATTCCTCACTCAGAGCTTCCCTCAGCAGTTCTCCTCCCTGGGTTTTCTTTTTAATGAGTAGGAAAGACACACATTGGATTAAACTACAGGCAAGTGATGGGTGGGAACAAACACTTGGAAAAGGTAAGCAGCTGCTTAGTATTCAGGAGCAAGCAGAGCACTTCAGCTTCTGCAAACAGCTCATGTGGGATCAACTTTTATTTGGCAAGGAGGATGCCTTTCCCACTGTGCAGCACCTTTCTGAAGCTGCAGCTGAGGAATTAAGCAGATGTCAGTCAAGACAAAGGAGCACGATTCTGTGCCAAGCCAGTTAGGTGAATGAGGTGGTCTGCTTTAGTGCTGGAAAAATTGGGAGGGAATTTGGCATGGTAACCGAGCACGTTACATAGAGGTGTCTTTGTTTCTGTGCCCCGCTGTTTGTCACGAGAAATCACCACCACGGTAGTAACTGCTGAATTGCGGGATGCTCCAGGGAGAGGACTGCTGTCTGAGATGCTCGTGGGGGTGGCTGGCTGTACGCGGGCTCAACTGCAAACTCACTGCAAAACCTGCACAGGGCTTCCACCACGGCTTGTCATCGCAAGCCCCACAGTCAAGAGAAAAATCAGGGGTGAAGGAGTTTTTTAGTCTCTTTCTGTCTCCCTACTCTGTTTCAGGGGACTCTGCAGGCTGTTGGCTCCTGCTGCTCATACTGAGGTTAACTTGCTTCCTAAGAGAGCCAGAGTAAATGTCGTGGTTCTGTTTGCAATCTGACCCTCTGCCACTGTGTACAAGCAGGCCTTTTGTACCCAAAAGAGCTCCAAATTACTGTACATAAACCATAATCTTCCGGTGGGAGCACTGTAGTTTTCCATTTTGCTGCTAATTGGATGATATGCTTGCAATAGTCTTTGTTAACATGGCTAGCGCTGGGCAGGGTACAGTGATGGAAGGCTTTTATTTAGAAATCTTGCAAAAATGCAGTGACTGTCCCCGTTTGACAGCAATTGAAACCAATCATCAATTAACTAAATAAGAGCCAATTAGCTTGAAGAAAAAAAGAAGAAAATTGCTTACTTGGCATTCTTTGTCGAAGCAAACACCAGTCAGAGGATGGGAGGTTTTTTCCTTTCTCCTAGGAGAAGACAAAATGGCAAAAGATGTACAGAAAACGCATAGTGATCTTTTTTTTAAATACTATCTTTTTCTCACAGAAGAATCTTTGAGAAACTAGATAAGAACATCTTAAGCTCCTGAGACATTTAATTTCGTTTCATTTTTTTAAAACCAAAATTACAATTATTATGCAAGCACATTTTTTCCTCCTTTCTTTCACGCCGCTGTAGGATACTTTAAGCACAAGGGCAGCTCCACCAAAGCTGGCTGCCTTCACAAGGAAAGACCAGCAAACAGCTGGCTGCTGTGCAGTGTGCCGACAGACAGGACTGTGATATTAACATTTGCATCACCAGACCAAGCCCTTCCTCTCTCATATTTTATGGACTTTTAGGGGTCCAGAGGTGAGACATTGTCAGAATTGTTAATGTGAAAAAACCTGAATCACGCAGAAGCGTTAGGAAGCAGCTGAGTGGTGCTGGCATTTTGGCCTTAGGTCCCTCCAAGATCCATGTTTCATATCTGTATTTTTTGAATCTGGGCAATAGCGCCAAAAGGTATTGATTGAGTCAAGACCATTGCACAGGGAAAGCCAGTCACACCACTGGCAGGAAGAAAAAGTCTCTCTTCTGGACTATTGCTCTTTATTTTAACTGTTTGCCCAATACCATCTCCTCAAAAGAAGCAGTGCAATTCAACATGAAGACTGAAGCTTGATCCCACATACTTTCAGTTATGGTACCATTTAACTCTTGCCAGTCCCAGAGCAGAGGCTAATGTCTGCATGGGTCTCTGACAGCTGGGCTTTCAGTGGATGAGACACTGGGCAGAAAAAGAGCACAGATTAGACCAAAGAGGCAGCTTCTACAAGCTAACTTAATACTGCTGGGTTAGTAAGAGATGACCATTTACTCATGGCATCCTGGCTTTGAATTTTTATTGCACTTTCCTCACAAGCAGTTAAGGCCAGCAGTTAATGCACAAAGGCATTACATGGCCTCACTTCTCGCCTGTGGGGCTGGACCACAGCTGGTCCCTTGGGGTTGACATCAGGGCTGCACCTGCCTAATGTCCATTAGTTGCGTCAATCAATAATTCTTCACTTAGACATTTTACTCATTGTTCAAAAAGATTTTATTATGCTACTTTGAGCTGCTCACAGCGTCATTTCACGGGTTTAAAATTGTGTTACTCTTTTGTTAATACTTTTAGGGCCCGTGTTTCATAATTGGATAGTGGAGGGTGAGAGGTACGTCTTTTAACTGTTGGGAAAGCAATGAATATTGGATGCTTTTTCATTAACTGATGTGAGATTCAGTGCTGCACTTATTGATCTGTTACTTTCCTACAGGAACATTTTACACCTGAATGCAAGTTCAAAGAATCAGTATTTGAAAACTACTATGTGACGTATTCTTCAATGATCTACAGACAGCAACAGTCTGGCCGGGGCTGGTATTTGGGTCTTAACAAAGAAGGAGAAATAATGAAAGGAAACCACGTGAAGAAAAACAAACCTGCAGCACACTTTCTTCCAAAACCATTAAAAGGTAATTGCTTGGGTTTGGTCCATCTATCTGAACTGACCTTATCTTATGTCAGAGATGTTTAATCACTGTGCATACGTACTTGAAGGGTTCAGCTACTTATATAACAGGAGTATAATGTCCTGTAACACAGTTAATGTAACCAGAGCTACATTTTCTTAGGTTTCTCTACGTTACCTCTGCATTTCTCTAACCAAATACAAATATTAGTTTCTCTGTGCCCGAAGTCCACAGTGTCGCCGTTATAGATAATGAAGGCTCTACCTGGAATGGCTCAAACATCTGCTCACAGGCCATCAGCGATTTGCTGTATAGCTTGTCAATCTGTGCTTTATGTTACAGGATGTTTGTTTGTCTATTTTTGCCTGAGATAAAGCTCTAATGTGCAGTTGTTATTAAACCGCAATTAATGTGGTATCAGCATATGACATTAAAGGTAATAATGCATGTGGCATACGTATACTGCTATGTATTAAAAGCCAGGCTGTACAGGGATCCCAGTTAACGGAAGGATCTGAATCAGGACTGTGGTCAGACTTGGCTCCCTCTTTGGTCAATGCAAAGAGGGCGATCTTAGTCGATGTATGGAGGTGCGCCTGTGCTCCAGAACTAGCTTCCATATGCTCCTTCCTTAAGAGGAATGAAGCCTTCTACTTCTGGGTTATGCTCTTAGGTAGCCTTTTAAGGCAGTGTCATTTTGAGATCAGAGAGGATATTTCAAAGGTGCATAGGTCTGGGCAGATGCTGGACTTGTTTGACAGTCTACATTTAGGACTAGGTGTTAGGCAACTGATGTCAAGGTTGATCCTCACTTCTAAAGGAAACAGAAGACTGAAAATCCATTTTCACACCCACCTGCTTAGGCTACGTATACAAGTAACAGGTCAAATCACAGCTGTCAACAGCACTGCTTCCCCATTAATAAGGAAATGTTGACTTATATCTGCTTAGGTCTATCTTGCAGAGTTTTGTAAGTGCAGCGGGTAACTGGGTGATTTAAGTGGGAGAGGGAGGAAGCTGTGGTTTTTCCCTTCTTTAAAATGTCATTCCCTTGAAGAGGACCTCAGAGGTTCTTAGGGAGTGTTTGAAATGGAAGAGGGCCCCTTGCCACGTTTCTTCCATTCGCTCCTTACATTGCATATTGCTGAATGAAAAATCACAATGTTTCACAACCGGCCTTTGCACCAACAGACTGAGCAGCCCGTAATGCATGCTGATGTGCTGCCTCTCTTTTGCTTTACAGTGGCCATGTACAAAGAGCCTTCTCTCCACGATCTCACAGAGTTCTCAAGATCTGGAAGTGGGACCCCAACAAAGAGCAGAAGTGTTTCAGGAGTGCTAAATGGGGGTAAATCCATGAGCCAAAACGAGTCAACGTAGCCAGGTTCAGGCAAGCCAAGTGCTCTCTAAACAGAACCTTACCTCTGGATGCAGTTGAATTCTTACTAGCAGTCTTTCATCCAAACGTTCAATTGCCCAGGACAAGCCACCGAACTTGCATAGGTCACTCGTTTATCAGCCATTAGATCTACCGGTTGTCAAAGGATATACCCCAATAATGTAGAATATGCTTGTGCATATCAAAAGGCACTTGGATAGCCAGCAAACGTAACTGCGGAATAAATCTCGGAGAAGAAATGTCCAGCTCTCTCTCTCTCTCTTTTTCTCTCTCTCTTTCTCTCTCTCTCCTGTGCTTTGTGGAATACGAAACAAAAACATTTCACAGCATTCACTGCTGATAAGAATTTGCTTTCCAACTCAGAAAAAGACCACTTTTGCTCTTCAAAGGAAATTTTAATGCTTGTATGTTTTATAGGGGCAAACAAAAAACAAATATGTAAACTCTGTTGTTTCCTTGGCTTACCGTTTTATATCTAAGGCTTGATAAAAAAATGTATCCTTTAATTTGGAATAGTGCAACTTTTTGATTTCTGAACTCCAATGGGTCTTTAAAGCTATGTCTTTAAAAAAATAATTAAAAATTCAGGGTTGGAACTGAGAGTTGGTGTCTCAGGCTCAAGCAAACAGTGTTCTTGTGGTTTTAAACACAATGAAATATAAATTTTTATAGATTTGTAGTTTCTGGTAAAGTTCTTGTGCTAACCCCAGTCTGTAGGAATTAAGTTGTTTTGTTATCCCAAGTGGAAGTTAACAGAAAGGGAGAAAATTATCCTCCAGTGTAGATTTCTCTTAATTCCATTTTGTGTGTCATGTTAAACTATTGTTGTGGCTTCTTTTCTAAAGACAGAAACTGTGGAATTAAGGTGACTTAATTTTTTTATAAGAAACGTCTTATTTGTAAAAGTCCTTCTTTCACTGTAACGGGCACGTCAATATTGTGTAGGAGGAAGCGTTAGGACAGGTTACCCCTAAACAACATATACTTATACATGCTATTGGAAACAATTGTTTAAAAAATGTAGTTAGGTTTCCATTTAGGTCATCATGTCTGTTGCATGGGAGAAAGTTGGAATATTGGCATAGAGTTGCATGATGTGTAAGATTTTGTGCATTAATCATCGTTGGATTCTGTGCTCCAAAACTGACATAGTTCTGTACAGGCAGCTTTCTGCCTCGTACAAAAGAGTTGTTTATTATTTGTTGTATACACAACCATGCACTGAATAAACTATTTATATTAAGATGTACTTTTTAAAAAAGCTTGTTTGATTATATGATGTACATCCATGATTAATTTCAAGGGAAAGGGTTGGCAGTTAAATTATAAAGTTATAAAAGATACCGTAATTAATGTTCAAAATCTTTCTATGTAATGGGTTATTCCCCTGTAATGCCGTACACTATACAAATGAGAACATGTTGTTTCTTTCGGATATTGTTAGAACTGGTCTTACATGCCCAGCCGAGATACTCAAAACATAGTGACGATTAAGTGCCACAAAGTCTTGGTAACAGCCCCTCTGCTGTGCGCTGCTGGAGCCCCAGTGAATTGCACTCCTCTGCTTTGAGCTTCTCCAGCTTCTCCGTGTCTGCCCTCCCTGTTAGACTTCCTTAGTGCAGCCACGCAGCGCTACCTCGCAGCACGCCTCCCCGCGGCCCTCGGTACAGGGGGTCCCAAAGAGATCTGGTAAGTCAAGCACTGCTCCTGCCTGAGTGGCACCCTGAGGATGCTCAGAGTTTGTTGTGCATCACTGCAGTTCAAGAGCCAGCTTTATCTGGTCTTGAGGAAAAAGGTTCCTATGCCTCCTGCCTTTGTGCATGTGCTCTGGAGAGAAAATGTCCTCTCTCCTGCCTTTTCTCTCCAAAAACATCAGTGAGAACTTTTCTCATCCAGGCAGCTCTGACAGGTGAGCTTCACTCATCAAGGTGTTTCAAGAAATCCTAGGAGGAACAAATTCTCACCACGGGTGGCGGAAGAACCAGTTCTGGAAGCGAATAATGGAAATGGAGGCAAAAAGCTACCTATAAATGTTAGCCTGAGATTGACATCAGGTATTCTGCTGTCGGCTCTGTGTCTCTCCCACTTGACCAAGCTGGAATTAGACCTCAGCCTAGGCTGGAACAATGGGATTTTTTTAAAGGTTGGGGCTGAGAGAGGAGGGAAGGAGATTATGTTTCAGATCAAACCCCTAGATTTGTTGTTTTGTGGCAAATAGTAGACAAAGAGCTCCGTCTTGCTGAGCTCCCATATTGGAGCAGGATGCTGCCCTCCCAAATACCACCATCTTGCTGGCCTTCAGAGGGTCCTCAGCTCTCGCCTTTCGAAAGAGTGAAGAAGGTGGGAGCACAACCAATGCCATAGAAATCCTTAAAAACTGAAGATGTGGCCATGATTGCTCCAGAGGTTTTGATAACTCAGTGAGTCTGGAGAATCTGTTCCCTTCAACTAAGTGTGCTATGCCCTCGTGGAACATCTCTCTTAACCCTCCTAACCCCAAACATCAGACTTACTGAGGTGCGTGTTCCGAAAAAGGAGAGTCCAAGTGCCCTAGGAACATAAAAACTGACAACAAATAGGCGTATTTGTGGCAAAGCTAGTTAGATACATTGTTCAATGCTGAGCGTTCACTATCCTAAAGATAACTGGAAGTCTGCTGCTTTGCTTTGTAGCTGCAATCTTACTGTTGTTCCCCATCCCCAGTACCTCCAACCGTGAAGGTCAGCTGCAGTGAAAGAAAAATGCTCATCTCACAAATTGTCCCTTCTGAGGTTTGTAGTCTGACCCATCTTTTGTATTGACATTGGCATCAGCTGTGAGCGTTCACTGCCAAGTCCCCAGTTTCAAAGGTTTCTAATATACCAAACTAACAAAGGCTACTCTTGGATTGAGATGAGAAGAGAGAGAGGATGACAGACGAGCCATAAACAGCTGTTTCTGACAATTATGTTAAATTTCTGACAAACCTGTTCCACCAATAGTTCTCCTTCAGAGTAGTGTGGACTGAAAGGGGACTACTCTTGATAGAGTCCTGATAGGAGACAAAAGCTCAGGTACGCTATGGGCAAAGTGGGGGATTACACCCAGGGTTTTACATGTAGTCTCTGGAGCCAGAGACTAAGATTTAATAAGGAGAAACAGAGTTAAATGTGCCTTCGCAGTGAAGTGAAGGTGATGCTCTGACCCAGCCAGCGAAGTCCCTTGGGTAGACAAGAATGTGGCTTCAGCAGAGGACCAGATTTAGGAGCCAGACTCTGGAGTATTTACTTATCCTTCAGCACTCACAAATTATAAAGTTAAACAGATGACTTCTGAGTAATACCTTCCTTTAAGAAATCTGCTAGATGTTTGAAAAATGTCCATGTTGATGGTTGTCTGTCAAAAGAAAACTTATAGCCACTGGTGAATCCACTTTGCCACATGTACAGTGGCAGAGCGCAGTAAGATGCACACCTGGACTAAGGACAAAGCCCAGGGGCTGGTATGAAACCAAGCCCTGCACTGGCTGTGAGCCACTAACCATCTGCAGAAGGCTTGGTCTCATGCCCTTCTGTTATGGCCAGCATGGTGGCTGATGCCTTTCATCTGCCATTTCTCTTGTCCCTGCCTCTCCACCAATGCTGCCCATGCTCCGTGAAGCATACCACAGGCCTAGAGTTGGCTCAGGAGGTGCAAAACCGGCACAGCAGCTTTCTGATTCACCTGGGCTTCATTTGGCAAAGCCCTGAGCCACCACAGGGGCTGTGCAGAGACCTTACTAAAGGCTGACAAATACTACCTGCCAACCCAAAAGAAAACAGGTCACCCATGAAATTGGGAGGAATACTGCTAGGAGCACAACTATTATGAGGCAAAATTGCTGCCTTTTTTGTGATCCACCTGTCAGAGCTGCTTTCTCAGAAGTCTCTGCAGGGGACTCAGGCATTGCCTGTTTGGCCTGGTTTTGGGGTGAGGGAGGGTGGGAAGAGATCTTACTTTTTTCTTTTTTCTTTTTTCTTTTAATTTACCTCATGCTACCTCATAGCATGGTTGTATCTCTGTAGCCACTTGCTCAGCCATGTTCATCGCTGGCACGATGGAAGACAATTCCCTGCTTGGGGAAAATATCTCCAAGTTACCCCAGGGAAGAACAGTGCCCCTTCTGCAGCACCGTCTGGTGTCCCCACCACTGGTTTCCAGCCCACGGGCCAGGTTTTCCAGTGGGATAAAGACGGTGTAATGAGCTCAGGGATGTTGTGGTACTCCAGACCTCTCCCTGGCTGAGCACCAGCGTGAGAGCCAGGTCTGGCAGAGCTCTGCTGTGTCTTGAGTATCTCTGCATGGAGACCAGAGCCAGCTCTAACGGGTTTAAATGTCTCCCTGACAAATCCATGACCAGGACACTTTTGCAGGACAGAATCTGTACGTAACAGCCTCCTATCTTCTAATAAATAATTCTCTCTAAAACAGACTCCCTCTTGTCTGGGCTCTGAATTTTATCACTGCAGGTATTTAACGGTTCTCCGCTCCAGCACTGGTGCATTAGACCATTAGCTTTCCTTGGCACATAGACCCTTCTGTGCTAACATTGTCCTTTTCCGATGTCGTCTTGAACCAGAGAAGGGCAACTTGAGTGGTCAAGACAAGACCATCACAGATGGATCCTTCAGTTGCTGTAGCCTCACCGTGGTCCATGGAAGACACAGAAAGTGTGATGCATTTTGCCAGCTCAGCAAATGGCTACTCTAAATGTTGGAGCTCAGTTTCGTACATGGTGTGAGACCAAGACAAAGACCACCATGGTTTTGTCTGACTTTTTGGCTCTGCAAAAATGACATAAAAGACTGGTAGAAAGCCTATTTAAAATAAATTGATTTCTTAGGAAAAAAGCTCTACCATGGAATTTACCCTGAATAACACTAGCTTTGGGCTTTTTTTCAGCTCTTTTTTGGGGGGGAGATGTTCTTGACAACTTAAAATTCCCAACTCAGATCATGGGGTAAATTTTTAAGAAATTCTCTTGCCTGGCATGAGTGAGCAAAGTTGTGGGGCCCTGCTTTTTCCTGGCAGGTTGGCACCAAGGTTCATGCCTTTTGGAGAACAGGGTCCTGAAACAAGCTGGGTTTGCTGATGCATGATGGCTTTTATTGCTTATCGGCTCCAGTAGCAGAGCTTACCCTGCTTTGGGAACATGCCACGTCAGTTTGGGGGGCACTCAATCACCCTGCCCTGCTCCAGCTCCTCTCATGGGGAAGTTTAAATATTAAAGGAAAACCCAAATTTGAAACACGTTTTACATTAATCAGAGAAATTCAAGTAATAAATTATTCCATCTCATCAGGAACTGGAAGACAGTTTATAGGGTTGCCTTCAAAGATCATTATTAATGATTTGGAAGTTAAGATTCTTAAATACGACATATGGAAAATTACTTGCAAGCACCCGTAGGCCTAATTTTTTTCCCCACATATGTTTGGCATTTCTCACCTAAATTCAACAACTGGAGGGGTAGGATGAATGCTTTCATCTCCCATGGGTTTCTCAGCATCACACATTGTCTGTCACACTCCTTTTCTGAGCTTGTCCCCTTGCCAAGGACAGGGTCACAGGTCCACCCTCCACCAAGGGCCATCACATTTGGATATGGAGGAAGAGTTGTCCCGGTCCTGGCGTTTGTAGCACACAGAGCTGGTTGATCTGATGAGATGTTGATCAGGGCTGATCTGAGCTGTCGATGGCATATTTGGGGGGACACACAGCAGACTGGCAGTTCTCTTACACTCTGTCTTTGCTTCTGCGTGGAGATGTCTCAGCTCAGAGCATGCTCCCTGGAGAGCCTGGGGGGAATTCGGGGGCTTTGCAATGAAAACTGCTCAGGCACTGACGGCAAAACGCTGCTTGCTGTGGCAGCAGCATCGCTGGGAGGACCATGGCTGGCATCTGTTAAAATTAATTCATTAGTGAATCGACTGCAAAGCTCTGAAAAGTAATTTGTCATGATTCGTCACCCATATCTTATAGAAAACTAAGGCACAAACAAAAGCTCTATCCAACTGGGGTGAGCAGATCATTCTTTTGCCCTTCCTTTGCATATAGATTTAATTCCATTATTGGATCCACTTCTACAAAGCAGGGCCCTGCACTTGGAGTGGGGGCACAGACTCCATTGTCCAAACCTGTGCAGCACGGAAGTTTCATATAAACAAGAATTGAGAGCTCTCTTAGTGTTTTCAAACAACACTATATATTTTGAAGAAAACCGTAGTGAGGTCTGAGCCAAAG